TGAGAGGTTTTTTTAATTATGCGTTTGAAAAAAGAATGGTCTAAAAAAACGGTCAATAATTTTGAGCGTTGTAATAAGCAAAGTCGTATATAACTCGTTAGCGGTGGGGCGGTTCAAGGGGTTATTGTCTCAACACTTACTGATTAAATTTTCCAATGATTGTGGTATTTTAATCTGAAACCGAGGGCGGGTTCCTTCGCAGACTTTTAAGGCCAAATAGACATCATATTTCTTATCATAATGAGGAGGTAATCCAGTTAGTACTTCGTAAGCAACTATTCCTGAAGAATAGACATCTGATGCTTGCGTATAACCTTTTTCTTGGAGAACCTCGGGAGCCACATAAGGCAGCACGCCGTAAATTTCATCTTCCTTTTTTAACGAATCAACCGAGCGACTTAGTCCTAAATCAATGATATAACATTCAACCTCATCAACTAATATATTACCCGAGTGAAAATCCCGATGAACTAATATTTTCTTATGAATAGAATTTAATCCCAAAGAGATGGTGTATAACAAGTACAGTTTGTCTTCAAAATCTAGTTCTCGATAATGGTCTAGCAAATACTGTCTTAAATTACCATCCTTTAGATAATCAAGAACCATCAGATAATTTTTAGTGTTTGGGTCTTGGGAAATACCATAACAATTAATAACATTGCTATCATTAGCGAATAGTTTATGGCAATCAATCTCCTGCAAAAATTCAGTATTAGTTGGGGGATTATCTAAACTTTTTAAAACAACTTTTCTCTGACCATCTCGCTCTCATTTACTATTTTTGGCGTCCCAACTTTTAATTGGACCTTCCTTCCATTCGGCTTTATAAACTTTACCAAAAGCACCTTCGGCTAGATACTCAATATTCTCAAATTGTTCGTGAGGTATTCATTCTAACAATTGTCCTCAGTGGGTGGCTTTCGACTGGTGTCGTTGAATAAATTTATCAATTTCTGGATCACCACTAGTTCAGTTGAGAAACTCTTCCTGAAAACGTTTGACAACATTTAGTAACTGCCAATTTTGTCGACTTTTTAGATCAAGTTAGGTTTTTAATTCAGCCTTTTGTTCTTTTGATTGTTGAAGATATTCATTTATTAGCTGTTCAATATTTTTCTTATTTTTATTTAAGGCTTCCGCAGCTGACAACTTCTTATTTCTTATCAACCAAACGCAGAAAGAAAGATAGCCAGAGCCACAATAATTTTTCAAGTCGTTAATTCACGACTGAGTTAATTGGGAATCAGGACATTGGCTTAGCCATTGTGAAACTCTAATGAATTCATCACCTTTTTCACCCCAATCATCATCTTTAATACTGCTAATAAATATTTCACCACCGGGTATGTTAACAATTTCATTGTAATTATTAAAGATATGTTGGAAAACTTTTTGCCGGATAATATTTTCTTTGACTTGAATTTGCTCTTTTAACTGTCTTTTTTCTTCTTCTAATTTCCTTTTCGACATCTCCAGCAGTTCCAAAGTCCTGATCATTGTCTATTTGGCCACTTACTTCTCATTCTTCTTTTCTTCCGACAACTGGTTCATTTTTTTTATTGTCATCCTTATTATCATCCTCAGTCAGAATATTGCTCCTACTATCTCATATTTTAACTTTCAGCCTCTTAAATTTTTTCACTTGTAATTTTTCTGTCAATTCTCTTTCTAATCTTTTTTTGCTCTCCATATAACTAACAATTTCCTCACTTAACTCTTGCAACTTGGGGGGGCGATAAGACTCTGAAGAAGTTTTTTTTAGGTGATAGAGAATTTTCTCCTTAGACTTATCTCTTGACTTTTTGTGCAGGGCTAATTTTTTTTCTCTATTTTCTCTTTCCTTTTCACTTTCATTATAAGCACTAGCAATGGAAATTGGAGGATTATCAACGTGAAGAACCCTGCCTTGGCAAGACTTGATTATTTCTGCTAGTTCGCCACCCCTTTCAATCATTAAAGCAATATCATTTTCACACTTCTTCGAGTTTTTGAAATCCTTAAACCGAGTGCGGACTACGGCGGTATGTTTAGTAATATCCTGATCAAAAATAACTGTTCTCAACAAGTTATAAGTAGCCATTTCATATTGTTCAAATCGACCATTAGTAACAAAAAGAACTTGATTGATCCCATTTCTAACTAAATATACTGCTTCGGCAACGATGTCTAATATTTTTTCCGTTGGCAACTGGGTATCTCCAATACCTGGAGTATCAATGATAAGATAGTATTATTATCCTTAAATTTTTCCGTTTGAATTTCTTTTGTCTCACTTATGCTTCTCTCATTCTCTTTAAAGTTATTGGTGCTAGTGACTACATTAGCCAAGGCTGATTTTCCTCGGCCGGTGCGACCAATCAGGAGAATTGTCTTAGTTTCTACCATATTTTTAAGTTTGATTTTATCTTTTGCTCTGCTCTATTGCTGCAGTAAGTTGTTCATTGATTCTTGGGAACTCTTTTTCAAGTTTAATTTTTATTTCTGCAATTGCTTTATTTTTTTCTTTTTCTATTTCTTCTTTTTTAGTTAAACTATTGCTCTGCTCAATTTCTTTTTCTTTTCCAAAATAATTCGCTACTATAGCATATATACTGTCTCATTCTTTTAACTTGTAAACTCCTTGACAGTTTGTGGTTAAATGGTTTAGTGTCAACTTTCTGGAATCTTCTCTATCATTTTTGCTTATGGACATTTCTTCCTCTTTGTCTCTTTTTTCTTCTTCATCATCCTCTTCGTCTATAACAGGAATCGGCGGATTATCTACATGTAAAATGCTATTACACGACTCAATTATCTCCCTTAATTCCCTATTTTCATTAAGTAAATCTTGACGATCTCTTGCACATTCTTGTTGGCTTCGGAAACTAACAAAGTTAGTTCGAACTAAAGTAGTAAATTTAGTAATGCTGCTTTCTGAAATGAGTTCCTTGAATGAATTGAAATTTCTTATCTGTTCCGAAGAGAATTTGTCCTTAAAGACAAAAAAAACTTGATCAATTCCTTCTTTAGCACAGTAGATCCCTTTTCCTATTTCATATAGAATGACCTCCTCAGCCAGATTATCAGTGTCTCCAAACCCAATATTATCAATTACGTAATAATTGGTTCCTTCTCATTCAAAAGGATCACTTTTTTGAAAATTCTTGGTTACACTAATTCCAGAGTTTCCTTCTTCAAATTGATTAGTATTAGTTAAAACATTAGCGAGAGCAGACTTGCCGCTGCCAGTTATTCCAATTATTAAAATGTTTCTTGTCATATTATAATTTTATAGATTATTATAAAATAGCACTCTACTAGTTAGTTTTATATTAGTATTTTGTTATGTTGTGTTGTTTTTATTTTTCTACTTCTCAATTTTCCTAAATAATAAAAATTATTTTTTAAAGAAAAAAGCAATTATAAAGGTAAACTAGTTCGCGAACAATATTGAAGTAAAAAATTTCAGCAAGTCCCATTTCCTTAGTTCAAGCGAAACTAACTAAGCCTCAAATTCAACCATATTATGCTTCTACTTATGATTTAGCCGCTTTAAGGTTTCAGGTTTTTCGCAGTAAGTCTATCCCCTAGAAGTTTGAGACCAACCTTGACTAAGTCACAAAAAAAGAAAAGCAGCGGCCCTTAGCACCTTTTTTCCCTTCGCCTACTTTAAGAAAGATTGAGACTACTCGTGGCCCCTAATTGACAGTAAATTAAAAGAGTATCAATATAAAGTTAACTTTTATCAGTTATTTGGTTGTCTTCCCCGCACCGAAAAAGAAATTCGTAAATTTGCTAGTATTGATTGGGAGAAGAAAAAAATCTAAGCCATTAAAATTACTAAGGAGTTAGAAATAGACTCAGGAAAATCAAGAACCGCCAGAAGAGAAATTAAAACTCAAGAAAAAACTTAGCAAAAATAACCAACAATAGCATTACAACATTAAAACATTATATTATGGAAGTTAAGCAAACACTAAGCATTACTTTGCCGGCTAGTCTATACCAACAACTATGCCAAGAAGTCGGTAAAGGAAGAATCAGTAAATTCATTAGAGAAACAATCGAGGAAAGATTGGCCCATGAAAAAAAAACTCTTGGCCAGGCTTACCAAGAATGCTATTCCAAAAATCCCCACTTACTAAAGTTGGCCCAGCAGTGAGAGCAAGCCCAAGATGATGACTGAGTAAATTGAGAAAAAAAACAATCAAGACCACAAACTAGAAAAAAATAGCATGGCGGAGCGACTGATTAGACGAGGTGAAGTTTATTGAGTAAACTTACCGCTACCAGACAAGAAAGGCTCAGAAAAATTTCGTGAACTGCAAGGTAAACATCTCGCAGTAGTGATTTCTAACGACGAACAAAATAAGTTTAGCCCTTTGATCACTGTTTTGCCTTTAGCTAGCACCATCGATAAAATTTACCCTTTTCAAGTCGAGAGTTATCTTAAAGATAAAAAGGGAGTTATTTTAGTTGATCAGATTAGAACTATTGATCGAAAAAGATTTGGTGACCAAATTAGTCAATTGGAAGAATCAATAATGGAAAGGATTGAAAAGGCCTTACATCTTACTCTGGCTTTGAAAAAGTAAAAAAAGATCATGAGAAAAAGGAGTTAACAAATCAAATTCAAATCTCTCCTAAGCGATAAACTAAACAGTTCGCTATTTTCAAACTGGGAGTCTTAATCATTAAACGCGACATCCTATTACTTCCTAATAAGAGCCTATTGACAATAAGGAATCATTTGCCATTAAAGCAGAATATTTTTGACAGGCGTGATGAGAAGTTTGAGGTGGTGAGATAGAAAGTTATATACAAGATATTCTTAGTATTCATAAGGGATAAAAAGATTTATTAAAAGTATATTTATGCTTAGTATATTATATTATTAATTTTAAAAAAGAAGTAAGTAGATAGGTGTGTTTTAATTGCCTTGATTAGAGTTAATTTCTACGTAAGCTTCTTGGTTTGATAACTCATCCAATTCAATGTTATCATCTTCTGAATTCAAAAGCAAGGAAGTGCTATTGTAGTTTGGATTTTCAATTTCACTTACTTGATTAGATTCTTCAATATTTACCCGAGTTCTTTCTATTCCTAACTCCAACGTTCTTTTCTCAATTTCTTTTTCTATCTCGCTTTCATTAATACCCTGGCGGTACTTGCTTGCTGCTTACTGTAGAATTGTTATTATTTCTATAACTTTACTTTGCTCTGCTCTTCTGGATTCTCAATCATTTTTTCATTTTTCTCATTCTGAGTTTTCACTTCTTTTACTAATGCGCAATCTTGATCATAGGCTTTTTGGATTTCAGCCTTTTGGACTGTTGTTTAATAAAGTTAATTCTTTTGAATTATTTTTTTCATCATCATTTTCTGCAAGCCGACCGGCTTCTTTTTGTAAAACATCAATTAACTGACCTAAAATTCCTAAAGAACTGCCAGTATGAATAGGTTTCAGTATTTCTATTAATTCTAAATAACTATTGTGGAGATTTTTCGTGTCCTTGACAAGTTCGTCTCATCTTTTTTTTCTTTCTACGGGCTGATAAAATTTTTCCTTATAGGAAGAAGCTAGGGAATCAATACTTAAGCCTGCTACTGTGGCAAATCCTGCTTCCTGTTGGTAATTTGCCAAATACAAACCAGCACTAGTTACTGAACCAACTCGAATAAACATTTGTAAACCTGTATAGAGATCATCAATTATTGGTAAGTCTACTACTTCAACTATTTCATTTTTATCTCACTTGTTATGATAATCTTTGATATCACGATGGATGCCATATAGTATTTCGAGAGGAATGACTCAAGCTATTCTGGTTTTTGGATTTTGAAGAGAATAATTTTGAGGATTGGTCATAGAGGCTATTTTTTAGGTGGAATTTCTATTTGGGAAACAGTTTCTTTTTCATTATTTTTTTTCGTTTCTATATGTTTGACTTTTTCTAAAGCACTTTCTAAAGTGAGATAGCCAATTTTATTTTTCGTATACCTTTTTAATTCAGTTAGTTTATCATCTTGAGGATTATATTCAAAAAGTCTTATCGCATAGAGAACCACTTTGTTAATTACTAAGGCTCTATTATTTTTTAAAGGAATAATTTTTTCAATTGTTCCGTGAAGATTGGATTTTTGGTGGATTATTTGGTTTCATTCTTGGATGGTTAGCATGGGTTATTGTTTAGGTGGGATTTCTATATTAGTTTGGAATTGTTGTTTTTGGTCAAAATCCTTTATATTTTCCTGGCAAGAAGAATGCTCATGAGATTCACTTTCCATTAATATATTTTTTTTTATCTCGCTAATGATTGTTTCCAACTCAACGATTCCGTCTAATTCTTCATCGCTTCTTTTTATTTTCTCAAGCAAATTAATATTGCCAAGCAAAACTCTTAACTTTTCTGCTTGTTCAGAAAAAGGTACTCCATAAACACAAAGAGTGACAAAATGTTCACAATTTTTTTTAAGAATGCTATATTCATCTTTAGCATAACGTGAAAGAATTGTCTTAGCGACATGCTCAAGTATCTTCGTTGGTCTTTTAAAAGGAATAACCACATGATTTCTGATCAAGTTTTTTTTGGTTCCTTTCAAAAATTTCTTTCAATCATCAATTCTTGCGGCTAATTTATTTTTTAACTTTTTTTCATCAGTTAACATTGTTGAATCAGACGAAATATGAGCCACTTGGTTATTACCCAAATAAATGGCAGCATGATAATTAAATCCATCAGCCATTTTTCTCCAAACTATATCTAATGGCCTCAAGTGTTCTTCAGGATTAATGTTAGCTGGAAGAGAAAATTTATGGATAACTTTGAGGGGGAATGAACTGTTCTCAGATACTGCTAGTATCGGATGCTCGCTATTAAGTTTTTCTTTAATTTCATTTATCTTAGTTTGAGTTTCGAATAAATTGTTGTATCCTGAAAGCGGATTCCAATTAGGAAATCTTATAGTTTTTAAAATTTCTTCGACTGCACCTGTCTCAGGCTCATAAACAACTAATCGCACTGCATATTTCTTACCCTTGGTGACAACTATAGCACAATTAGGATTAAATCAGGTTTCAAAAATGTCTATTATTTCGTCCTCCGCTTTTGTGCTTTCAGGAACCACTCTTTTTTTAATTATTTTCTTGAATAATTCCTTAGGCAGAGGCTCAACTCTATTAACTCCTTCCCCACTACAATAAGTTTGTAGAATTAGTTCTACGTTCCTGAATGTTTCTTTTCAAGGTTGAAATTCATAGTAATATTTTTCTTCTCTGTCTTTCTTTTTCTCGTAGATCAAAAAAAATTTTTCAATTTCTTTCACCTCCCAATTCCTATCCATTAAATCAGCAGAGCAATACATTTTTTCTAAACTTTCTGGCAAGAACTCCAAGCCACAATTAATATCAGTGTTAGAAATACTTATTTCTCGTAAGTTGACTAAATTTTGTAGAGGTTTCAGGCTACCGTAAAACCGATTGAAAATGCCCTGACGAGTTGCTTGACTATTATCATTGCCTAAAAATAAACTTTTTAAATTAACAAATTGGCTGAAGCAATTCAAATCCTGTGCCTGTAAATCATTGTTTAATAAAGACAAAAAAAGCATTTTTTCAGGATTAATCAGAGAAAAATCAAAACTAGTAAGTCGATTGTCAGAGCAATTTAACTCCTGTAAGTTGGGCAAATAACAAATATCCAAATTTATCAATTTATTGTGAGAACAATTTAACTTAATTAGATGACGACAATTATTTAGATTTAAACTAGTAATTCTATTGAGAGAACAATTTAGTTCTGTGAGATTAGTCAGATTAGTAAAGTCTACGGTAGTGAGAAAGTTTTCGTGGCAATAAAGAAAGTTAAGGTTAATCAAATTGTTAATATCTAACTCATATATTCTGTTATTTTGGCAGTCAAGCACTTCTAATTTTGTGTTCTTGGTAAGGTTTATGGTTGAAACTCTATTATGACTATAGTCAAGTATAGAAAGACGGCTGCAATCACTAACATCTAGATTAGTTAGTTTATTACGAGTCAAATCCAACTCTTCCAAATTTACAAACCCTTGAAAGTTTAGAAAACTTTCCAACTTTTTTTGACTAATGTCTAAACTAGTAATTTCTTCTCTTGTATTTCTTGGATAATTTTCATCTAGTCATTCCTGTGACTTTTTTTTCTGATTTCTACTAATAATGAACGCTTTAAAAGCAGTGGTTTTGTCACTATGTTTATCATTAAATTTAGAATCTAGTCTTCATTCATAGATGCTTTGGTTATATGGTTCAAGCGTTTGATAAATTGATTTAACTTTTGCATTTTCTCTTCCTTCTGGACTGCAATCTAGTTCTTCCAAACCATCTGGAAGAAATTCCAAGCCCGAATCAATGTCAGTACAATTAATTGATAAGTTTTTCATTTTAGTCAAATTCCTTAATGGTTTCAAGGAGCCATGAAACCGATTATAAATACCTTGCTGAGTTTTCTCTCAGTAATTGTTTCCTAGATGCAGTTCCTCTAGATTAACTAACTTACTAAATAAAGATAAGTCCTGAATTGGAAAATTGTTATTACGGATAGATAAGTAAATTAAGTTCTCTGTTTTACAATTAATAAGTTCTAATTTTGTGAGTAAATTATATGAGCAATCAAGCTTGGTCAACCGAAGACAATTAGTAATTTTTAGGTTGCTTATTTGATTAGAATAGCAATATAAACCCTGAAGTTTAACATAGTTACTTAATTCCAGATTACTTATGCGGTTGTAAGAACAATTGAGTTTGGTTAAATTTACACATGCACTCGTGTCCAAACTGGTGAGTTCATTAAAATAGCAATCTAGTTCTTCTAGATTATCAAACCCCGCTAAGTTTAGATTTCCTTCTAATTTTTCATCATCCTCCAATAGCCTTCTTTGCCTAAGTTTTCGAGAGTTTATATCAAGTTTTTTGACTTTTTGTCTTTCCTCTTTCGGATAATTTTTGTCTAATCATGCTTGTGCATTTACCATATTTTGTACTAAATTTATGTGTTATTGTTTAAAAAATTTTGTTTTACAACCACCGCTAATCATTAATCAATTATACTCAACCAGAAGTGATTAACATTTTTATTCTAATTTGCTATTTTGTATCGTTTCGACCATAGGCAATTTAGTATTTATTTCTTTCTCCTATGACGATTCCTCTCCAGAATAAAGATTAAAAGTAAAGCAAATAAACTAATTACTCCACACCCAATATAAAGTCCAGTTTTATCACCGGGTTGAACATTATTACCAATATTAGAATCATTCATCCTCTTTAATAATTTCTCTAACTCCTTCTTTTTTTCTTTTAGAAGAGTTTGTTCTGCTTTAGTTTTATTAGGTTTATTTTCTAAATTAGAGATATCTGATTGTAATTTCATAATATTTTTGCTCTCTCTCTCTCTCTCTCTCTCTCTCTCTCTCTGGGTGTGTGTGGTGCTGTTTATGCTATTGTCATCCTTGTCCGAATTATCACTATTCTCTATCAAATTCTTCAATCTCTCCATTTCTTCCTTATCTGCACTTTGTTCTTCTTGTAATCTCTCTAACTCGCTTTCTAATTCTTTTCTCTGTTTTTGCTTACAGTTAAAACATAAGGTTCCAGTTTTAGTTTGATTTTCCCTATAAAAAGACTGAAAATCTACTGCTTTACCATTTTCATATTTAAGACACTTTTGGACACAGTTTTCGCATAACTCAGCATTATGTTCTAAGTCACATGCTTGAGAACAGAATTCTAAGCCTGTTTGTTGGTTGATGAATCATTTTTTTGAGTTGGTTTGGTGGCATTCTCAGCAGATATTGTTTTGGTTTGGGGTTTGATCTTGTTTTTTGGAAAGGTTAATTGTGCTACCTCTTTTAGGTTTAATGTTGCCATTATTTTTAACCCCAATTTCTTTTTCTAATTTCTGCTTTAACTTTATAAGTTTATGTTCGTGAGACACAAACCCTTGTCGAGCCTTTGCTATGTCAAAATAATTTTCTAACTTATTTCCTTTTCAGTAGTTCTCTAAGTCTCTTCAATTATTTTCGCAACCTAATTCATAACTTGATAAAAGTCTTCTAATTTCTTTAACAAAGCTTTCTTTCTGTTTATCATTAATTGGATCAATTTTTTTTATTTTGTCCTTTATTTCTTTATAATCTTTATCGATTTTCTCGCAGAGTTCACTATACTTCGCTTGAAAGAATTTAGTTTTTTGATTTTTGTCCATAAACACTATATTATAGTTTTAAAAAAACTGCTGTGCAACTGGATGTTTTTAAAAAACTTCTTGTAAAGTAAAGATGCTATTTAAAAGGTTAAAGATTTTTTGTGTGCTTATTTTTTATCATCCTTTAACAGTTTATAACCTACATACATTGCTGCTCCTATCATTATATTCTCTAAAGTGAATAAATCTCAAACTCAGTGTCTATCTTCTAGGTTAGAAGTTGTGCCGGAAATAATGCTATTGTTATTCTTAATTCTTTCGCTCAACTGTTTGATTTTGCCTAAAATGTTATCTCTTTCTCTTTTGTCTGCATCCTGATTTGATATTAAGAGTGCTAATTTTTCTTCCAATTCTTCCCTTTCTTTTTTGGAAAGGTTAGGATCTTTTAGTTTATCAGTAACTTTTCTTATCTCTTCATCTCTCTTTTTGATTTTATCATCAAGTTCATCATACTTTTTCTTTCATTCATCATTTTCCTGTTGAGCTTTTTTATTATCTTCTCGGGCTTGGTCTATGGTCTTGCTTTTTATTTCTAATTTTCTTCTTTTGTTTTTCTCTTTTTTGTGGAAAACATCATGGATTTTCTTGACGGCGTATGTTCCACAAAAAGCACAAAAGGCGATTAATAATGGTGCTGGCATAGTTTTATTTAATTTTGATTTCTTTTTTGATTTGATTCAATTGATTAGTTAATTGTTGTAATTGTTGATGGTAGGTCTCAATATTTTTAGTTCAAAGGGTCAGGGCAGATTGGATTTCTTTGATTTTGGTTTCGATTTGTTTGATTAGTTGTTGGTTGGTCATATTTTTATTTCATTTCCGATATTATTAGTCTTATTTGTTCTAAGCCATCTTCAATAGCGGCAGTGCAATTGC